AGAGAACTTGTAAAGGTCTGGATGACCCTAACACCTTGCGTACTCTTTACTGCTCATTGGTCCGCTCAAATTTGGAATATTGTTCAGTGGTGTGGTCCCCATATACAAAGAGAAATACTGATAAGCTGGAAAGAGTACAGAGAAGAGCGACTAAACTTATCTTAAAAAGTGATGATCCCTATGACATTCGTTTGAAGAAGTTAAACCTCATGTCACTGGAGAAGAGAAGATCACTGGCTGACGTGACTTTCTTATTTAAAGTACTTAATGGCAACATTGATATTGACATCAGTAAAATTATAGATTTACACTCAGAACCTGACTGCTTCTCACTTAGGGCTAAGGACTCTTTAACTTTAAAGAAGAAATACGCAAGAACTAATGTCTTGAAGTATAGTTTTTTCCATAGAATTACTGACCAGTGGAATCAACTACCGTTAGACATTTGTGTTTCTGATAATGTAATATTTTTAAGTCTAGAGTTAGGAAATCTTTCTGTGATTTTTAAGTAGCTTTTATATTTCTGTATTTTCTGAAACTATTATTTTATTGTGTTTCTATATATTTTTAGGTGATCTGTTTTTATATGGGTCTAGGACTCCTTTACAGTTCATCCTTTGGTTTTTAATCCATAGATTGTAATGAATAAAATATATAGATTTAGCCAGGGCTTAAAGCGAAGCTCCTATTAACTCGAATTTATAATTTAAATCAAGCAATAAACTTGTAATTTCCATAAATCAGTTAACTTTAGAGCACATTCATGTGACTGTTGAGGGAAAGGCTAAGTGATTTTAGAGAAAAATAATTTGCGAACAGTCCAAGTTAAGAGTGAACTTAATCTTACATCGAGTTGATAGCCTTATATGTACACCCTAAAAATAGCATAGCCATAATGGCTCTTGATCAGAGTAGATTAGGCCTGGAAAACAAATTCTTGGAAAACAAATTCTTGGAGAACAAATCAGGCTGAATTTTTTGCGTTCGACAAGTTTACTTTAAAAAATCTTGCCAACAAGTCTGGGCACGTGTAAACCAACCTTTTATACTTTTTATACATCACATCTGAGGTGAAACTACCATATGGCGCTGTTTTTATCATATAGACCTCGGACAGAATGCAGTATTTCACAATTTTGCATTACAAATTGCACTCATTCAATATTTAGGACGATCGAAGCACGCATGGGCTTCGCATGGGCTTTTAGCGAAACCGTTAAAAAATGCTGGCGGGTTCTCACTTTTGACAAGCACCAAAGTTGACTGTTTAAATTAAGATTAATAGAGTTATACGCTTCAACATAATAAAGAATTTATTATGTTTATTTTTTATCTAATGGTTTTATAACGATGTGTAATCTTCAAAAGCGTTTGATACGCGTGGCATTTTGACTACTCCTGCAAGCGATGTTCATGAGCGACTGAAAACAAACGGCACAGCGATTAACATTGCAAGGAGACTACTAACAATCAATAATAAAAGGAAAATTATTCGGTGAAACTTATACAGAGATAACAATTTTCATTCGCGAAGACAAGTATTAAAGTGTCTCTGAAAATCCTTGTTTATTGTTTATGTTTTAAGCCGGCATTCAGGTGTTTGCTTTTTTCAAAGATGAACATGAGGCAAGAAAATCGCTCAAAGTTTTCTTTTACAGCCAGAATTATAACTTTGGAACGTTTTCTTTCTATTTGCGGTGAGAAAAAGTTTTTAAAGTTCTACAAGCTTATAATCAAACTTGATACTCGGTCAGATCATTGTCTCAAATCTTACAAACATGCATAAACTAAATAGCCCTATAAACTACACTCGACTTTATTGAATAAGATATAAAAAACAAACATCAAATAAAATAATTACTCAGGCTTACCATTCGAGATGCACTGAAAACTATCAAGTAAGGCAAAAATCGCTTCAGACTTTTCAACCCTCTTACGCATCAAGCAAGGTGAAAAACGAAAACGATGCCATTCGAAATCGGATTTTCCGACTTTGACAAGCGACCTATTTCTCAGCCAAAAACCAGATACACAAACTAGCTATGAATAACAGAAGACTCTTGATAGCAGCTGAATTTCATTTTGTACAATGTTCAGTGGAAAAAGACAGTTAAAAACATCACAAGTTGACACAAAACTCTGTCATCTTCAGCTGTCAAAGTAAACAAGTTTCAAGATGCGGCATAAATTTTCGAAATGAACTCACCTGTCAAATTTTGACCAATCAGAGCATAAAAATTGGGCATAGAGCGTGACCAACGCGTGACCTTGGTGAGAAAAGTAAAAAACAACTGGCATGTCCTCCCTGCCTGTAAAAACTGGCTGAATTTTACCTTGTGAGGTCAGTTTGAAATCAAAATTTTAATTGTGCGGCACATATAAAACACATTTCATATGAATTTAAAAAATTAAACTTGAGCCTGCAATCATTTGAAAACTAGTAACTTGTCAGCAGATAACTTCAAAAATACTCAACCTCGATAGGTCGACACCTGAGCCCGCGATACGGTCAGGTGATACTGGTCAGCGGATACCCTGTTTTGACAGCTGTCAATTGATCACAACACTGGTGTGCAATATCAGCACTTCCTGTGATCCCAAACTAGCTAGAAAGTGTGAGATTGAACATTGGTTGCCCTGTGGTGCGGAGGGACGGGCAGCGGGCGGGCGGGCGGTGTACGGTCACGTGATTTTCTGAGATGGGTAGATTTCTGAGATGGGTAGATTTCTGGGATGGGTAGATTTACTTACCCATGGTGCTCCGCAGACGCGCTTCGCGCGCTAGAGCTCTGCTATGAATAAATAAATTACCCAGTTTTGAACAAATTTAGAGAAATGGACAGTTTTAAGATTATCCTGTAACTCTCTGTCGCTTGAAATGCAGAAATTCATGTCTTTTACAATGTAATATCTAAATAATACATTTTCTTCAATCCAGATTGTTTTCTCCTCTATATATGTAATTTCTTGTGTAGTCGTAACGAGTAAAAACACAAAAAGGGAGGGTCACTGCTTTTGTTTCATTGCAAAGCATTAACAAAGGGACAAATTCAGCGTCAAATGATCATTCAGCAAGAGGGGACTGGGGCAGGTGTCAAGGAAAACACCTTTTTAGCCGGGTGCAATTATCAAAATCACCATTAAAAGCATTAGGACTACAAGAGGGGCCATAATAACCTCTTTTTAGGTGACCAGTGAAAATTGCCACTACCTTTGAAGTCAAAATGTTATGTGCACTAGGTGATAAGCAGTCCAAAACAAGGGAATTACCTGAATCTGGGGAGTGAATTCAAAAAATCATGTGGAATCCAGTGATATTATAAAGCTTTGCAAATTGTACATGGATGGAATACTTCCCTACAATCATCGTCAAAAATGTTGGGACGGTGACCAATTTTTACCTTTCTTGTACTTGTCTCCCCCCGTCCCCTGGATCAATGTTGGACAAAACTAAATTGCTTTTGTGCGTAATTGTTGTTACATGTCCCAACATTGAATAGGGGCGCGGGGGGGTATTCAGGAGAAGAACAAATAACCTTTTTTGAACATAGACATAAGGCGTATGAAATGGGGCAATAATGTTGTTAAGTTATTCCACCTTCCCAACTACTTTTGTCTGTGATTGTAGAATTCTTAGCCCTCCTCAAGTAATAGAAACTTCTAGGCAGTTTGTGCTTCTCTGAACAAATATTTTACAGAAAAGAGTTGTTGGGTGCCCCTGATTTCTTGCTCAGCAACCCTTCGGCCAGTTAAACGTTTTGGATTATTTAAATAATTTGTCCATGATTGTCTTGAAATTCTAGGTGTGGTCATGAAGAAACAAAAGTCGACGAATTTCTATAGTAAAGCACTTCTTTAAAAAAGACATAATTGGTACTCTCGTGAAAAGAGTTACTGTGCGTTGTTTTTATCATTTCAGGCGAAATAATATGGCCAATACAATAAGGTTACGATTATTTTTTGGAACATAAGGGCACGCATTGTTATGATTATGTTTGTGTCAGGACGGCTTCAATGAGTGATATCTGTAAGTATTTCACGTGTTGAAAGTTCTGCTGTTATTTATGCGAAGGGGAGGAGTCGAAATTGTTTTGTAATGCGAAAGATAGTTTGTTTTGGCCTGTTTGAAAGGTTGATGGACAACGATAACAACCCAGAAAATGGCAGAGGTAAATGATAGTTTGCGAAACCGTGAGCAGGGACTTGTGTATCTTGTGACATATAGCAGAGCTGACGTAGAAAATGTTGCAACAAGAGAAGCATTTGCCGAAAAGGTCTTGCTAGGGTGGATGGAAATGACGGGTGTTAAGGTTGTACAGTGGGTTGTAGCGCGAGAATTACAAGCTGATGCAGGTGTTTCAGAGAGCAATTCCCATTATCACATGGCAATGAAACTGGAAAAACGTGCTCGCTGGCTGAAGGTACGCCAATTCTTAGACGACCGCTAAGGCATAAGGGTGAACAACACATACGCCGCACACAACACATACTACTCTGCATACAAATACACCACAAAGGAAGATGACTTCTGTGTTCACTCAGAGGGCCACCCAGACCTAAGCAACGCGCGTCCACCAAGACCTGAGAAGGCAATCTCAGGAAACAAGAGAAAAGCAGTTGGCCGTACTGGGGGTAAGAAGACGAAACGACAGTGTGGTCTTTCAGTGTATGAGGTTGCCCAGTTTATCCAGGCTAAGAACGTAAAATCACAGCTGCAGCTTCTGTCTTTTGCAGCTTCACAAAATCGGGAAGGGAAGACAGAGCTGGCGGAATTTATATGTAACAGGGGCAGAAAAGCAGTAGATGAGTGGCTATCGAGCAGGAGTTGGCAACTGCGGAAGCGAAGTATGAAAGGTCACAGAAGACTCACCCAACTTCTACACGAAAGCTACTCTGCCAAATGCGTTGCCAACTGTGAGGGGAAGTAGCTAGAGGCGGCAGTTAACCTCCTGAATAGAAATGAAATTAGCGTCAGTGTTTTCACCCAAGCTGTCTTGACGATGCTGGAAAAAGGAAGAGGAAAGTACAGAAACCTGTTTATACGTGGAGTTGCCAATTGTGGGAAAAGTTTCGTGCTTGCCCCATTGAAAAGCATTTATGGCACTTTTTGTAATCCCGCCACTGGAACTTTTGCCTGGGTTGGTGCAGAAGAGGCGGAAATTATTTTGCTGAGTGATTTTCGGTGGAAACCCTCCATAATAGCATGGGCTAACATGCTCCTGTTGCTAGAGGAAGATATAGTGCATTTACCAGCTCCCAAAAATTTCTCGAAACGGGACATTGAGCTTAGCAACGATACCCCTATCTTTGCAACATCAGACGCGCCAATTGTGTACATAAAGGGGGGAAGTGTTTGCCACGCAAACACTGAAATGATGAATGTAAGGTGGAAATTTTTCCACTTCTGGAGACAAATTCCACCAACTGAACAACTCCAGTTAATTCCTTGTGGTCACTGCTTTTCAAAACTGATTTTAAGCAACATCACTGAGTAGAGTCTTTTAAAATAACTTAGAGTAGCGCGTCTATTGTCTTCGCTAATCTGATTACATAATGAGTCAAAAGGCGCAAACATGGGAGGCCACATTACTCCATTTAAGTAGCCGAAATTATTTCGTTTATAGTAGCTCCAAAAAGAAAAAAGTTATTGAATTGTGCAGGACTTTGAAAGGAGTTAGTGCTATGCTTTTTAAGAACCATTTTAGCGTTTTCCTAAGGAAAATACCACATTACTCTGCAGCTAGCGTTTAAATTGAACTTGACTTAGCTAATTGACCTTTATTAGACACTGTGTCAATGGAGTAATGTTGAAAATCACTGGTACATTTATTTCTGTAGAAAAATGAAGGAAAAATGGAACATATTCTCATATGGTTTACATATTTTGGTACTTTGTTCGCAAGAACGTTGGTTCATTGGTGATGTATTTGGGACTTTCTTATGGAGTAATGTGCTGGAGTATTGTAAAAATCGTGTGGTTTACTGTTCTCAAAATAGCTTAATGATTGACAGATGACGCCACTAGCGTGAAAAGATAATCACACTGTAAATTGTCGAAGCTCCAGTTTCTTATATTATTCCCTTTATGACATCGTCAGTACATGTAAACATAATATAGTGTAAGAACTGAAGTATGTTAGCATTAAAATACCTTGTTTACGTTTGTTTAATACTTGGTTCGACAACCCTTTCCTTTAATAATTGATAGAACTCTATTGGACATACTTTCTATGGTTTTATCAATGACAACAGTATCCATCTTGCTAAATGTGCGCAACACTCTGTTTTTGAAGTCGCCAAATGATTCTTTGTTGATGTGTTTTTCAATCGCTTCATCGTCTAATGAATCATCGACAATACAAAAAGTAGATTCACATGGGTTCAGGTCTGGCGAACGAGAAGGTATCTTCGAAAGTTCACTTTCAATTTCTCTTAGAGCACTCATAGCTGATTTGGACACCTGACTTGGATCGTTATCCATAACAAATAGACGCTTTCTATCTCGTTTTGGCCCTGCACGTCCGAAACATAAATTAAAATGCTGCCTAATGAAATTAGCAAAGAACTGGCCATTCAATTTGTCATAGGGCTCTTTGACAATAACCCCTTTTCCGTAAGCTATTGCAACCATTACATGCAGCCTTTTTCCTCCTGCTAAATCTTTCGAGCCTTTGCTGGTTATTTGCAAGCCTTCGCTTTTTTGACGGCATACTCTTGCCTTTGGAGCCATTGCTGTGCTCATGGGATTGGTCTTGTCGCTAAAGACACACCATCTAAATAAAAAGCTATTTCATCAGTCCAAAAACCTGGGAAATCTTGTTCGTAGCACGCCATTTTCCTTGCATACTGAAGCCGGTCTTTTTGTCACTTTCTTTCAGAAGACCCTTTTTTCTAGCCTGTAAGAACCAGAAACCCATCTCATTTAAGCATCAGGAATACGTGCGAATACTTGCGGTTTGAAGGCTTAGTCCACTATAATTGACAAGTCTCTTAACAGTTACTGCTACACCTTGTCTCCTCATTTTCAAGAGGTTTCTTATCAATAACAGCTTCATACAGAGGGAAATCTTTCTTGGTCGACCGCGTTTCCTTGAGTGGCCCGAGTTTCGTCTTTGAAAAAGATTCTTATTGCAAATTCTTTCGGTGGAGGAGGTTGAAATGTTACATTTCTCAGCAATTTTCGGATAACTCAGGCCAGATTCTTGACGTAAAAATATTGCTAACGCTCTTTTCTCTGGAGGTATTTTTCCTCTGAATACCATTGCGTAATCAATAGATTGAAATTATTTATTTCTGTATTGGAAAATCAACAGCTTGTTATATATAGGTTTTCAGAATTTGGAGCCTAAGAAAATACAGTCTACAAAATTCCACACTCAGGTCACACTCCTCCCAGTCTACAGGTTTCATGCATACGTGTGCAACTAGAATTTTCCGGTGTTTCTCCAAAACGTTTATTGTTCGTAAGCCTCCTGCTAACTGTAGCTGTTTTTCAAGTTGTTTCTCTTTGTTTCGTCTTTAAAATCATTGCACTCACTGAAATGACACACAGTGAAACTGTGTAACTGAACAGACGCAAAAATGCATAACAACAAACGTGCGACATTTAGCACTAATTGCTCTCATGTCTTCTAATTTTATGTCATGAAACAAACAAGCTATGGCGATTCTTTCCACTTTCTCCAAACAAGGAACCTTCATTTAATCTATCGCCGAAAAGAAAGCAACATAAACGTTTTTCCCGACGTTGTTAAAAAACAATCTACACATGCTAGTGGATTTTGTGGTCACGCTTTGACATGTCACGCATGTGAGATACAAGGATCTCATGATGGTGATTTTAACAAAACTAAAGCTTTCTTCCACTTTATATACACATCGTAAAGTACATTATCAATAGATTTCCAGGGTGAGAAATCTCAGCGAAATGTTAAAAGCCACATGTTTTACAAGCGTTAAAAGACAATTGTCTATTCTCACACAATCATCGTCAAAAGGGTTGGGAAGGTGACCAATTTTTACCTTTCTTGTACTTGTCCCCCCCGTCCCCTGGATCAATGTTGGACAAAACTAAATTGTTTTTGTGCCTAATTGTTGTTTCATGTCCCAACATTGAATAGGGGGCGCGGGTGGTATTCAGGAGAAGAACATTTTTTGAACATAGACATAAGGCGTATGAAGTGGGGCAATAATGTTGTTAAGTTATTCCACCTTCCCAACTACTTTTGTCTGTGATTGTAGAATTCTTAGCCCTCCTCAAGTAATAGAAACTTCTAGGCAATTTGTGCTTCTCTGAACAGATATTTTACAGAAAAGAGTTGTTGGGTGCCCTTGATTTCCTGCCGAGCAACCCTTCGGCCAGTTAAACATTTTGGATCATTCAAATAATCACACTTGGGACAAAAATGTATTTAAATGATTTAATATTAAAGCTATTTAGTATAATCCACACAAGCCAATTTTATATGGAAATTTTTGTGTGTGTTAATATTTCACTAGTGTGGATGACAAAATTTGCAAGTACAGCACAGGGGAATGTTAAAATTGTGACGATGGACTCATCAGCAGTTGCATACATTTATGTTAAGGAACTTACACCTAAAGCCAAATTTCTGGTTTTTAATTTTGTACCTGAAAATTGTTTTCATGTGCCAGGCAAGTTATTGAAATTTAGCAAGACTAGTGATCATTTGAACCAATGACCAAGCTGTGAGACAATTCATGGGTCTGTTCCTATTTTTTTCAAAAACTCTGTTGTAATTGAAAGTCTTTTTAAATTGAATGCAAACCAGTTTCTGATGTGAAATAAAAAAGGGGCCTACATGTATGCTATGCCTCCAACAAGACATTTGAGCGTTCATGCAACTGCTACAAAAAATGAGAATTTTTTGCCTTTTTCATGCACTTTTATTTTTAAATCTAGTAGAAACTCGATTAAAAAAGTGCTAAAGGACTGTGGAAATTTGTTTGTTATATCGAATACCTCAATTTTACGAACTTTTGCAACAACCACCAAAATGTTCATTTATATCGAGGTATAGTTTATAATTAATTTACAAAATCCAGAATTCTCAGGTCCGAACAGTGCCTCAGTACCGAGCTTTATGTTGCTATGGCACTAGAAACTCAAAAATAGGCAAACAAAACTGCCTAAAACTAATGAAGACATAAATTTGATTCATCTTTTATCACATGTTGACATTCATTCATTATATCGAGGTACATTTTACAATTGCACTTCTGGATTGTGTTTGTTATACCAAGGAGTTCGTTAAATCCAGTTTCCGTTCCATACATTTTCCTGTATTTTGGCCAGGCTGAAGAAAATCTTTCATAATACCAAGGACTTCATCTTTTATGAGGTTCGTTAAATTGAGGTTTCACTGTATTTTGGGGGATTTCATAAAGTTCAAAGATTTTCAATTTTTGGTGGGGGAGAGAGCATTAAAAAAATGCTCTTTTTAAAACCATATTCTTACTTTAAATTAATTTGTATTATAGAAGAAAGATGATGTGAAGTAAAGAAAAATGAATTAAATAAAGGTCTTGCCTCTATTTATATTAATTTGTACTTCTGCAGTTTACGTCACCTTCATCATTCTTTTTTCACAGGTTAAATGAACACAGCAAATTGGCCTGCTCCCAACCTATTGGGCTTCATAGCTCAGTTGGTAGAGCACTGTAGCACAAACACGGAGGCGATGGGTTTGCATCCCATTAAACCCCCCCCCCCCAATTTTTTGGGGGGTTAATTTGCAGTTGCTTGAATTGCAATTACTACTGCGATGATCATATCCTCATTTCAATTTCAATTTGTAATGCTGTGTTAATAAACTAAAGGTGAAGAAGACAATGTGAATTCCATGATATATTACAGCGTTTTTACAAGCTTGTAATTTTTCTTTTACACAGTGTGGTTGTACTTACAAAAGTTGTCTGTCCTATGAAATAGATGAATGGACCACATGTGCACTGTACTAACTTTTGCACTGTAAACGATTAAATAACCATTTTGCAGTTGGTAGATTTACAATACTGTGGGTTGTTACAAATACTAGTTTTCTAATCGAACTCTGAAAATTGTAAACAACCCAAAACTACAATGTCTTAAACAAATGATAAACTGCAAGCAACAGCAGTAAAAAATATTAGATTATCATGGTTTTATGGTTTTCTCAGGTGTCTGAACTGCACCATGATTAACTACTCAATAACTGAGTGTGAGGTCTTTACACCTAAACCCAGGTTTAAAAGTCTTCTTTAACAGCCAAATGGTCAAAGCTACGTCAACAAGTTGTTTATTATGAGGCTAACACAACAATTTCAAAGAAAACAAACACCTTTGTTTAAGTTGAAGTTCTCCCCTTCTCAGCAATGCACAAGTTAATCTATTCATTCATCATTCCAAACCCAGGTCAAACTTTTCATTGACAGTTTTTATGGTTGTGTTTTCCCTTTGCTCTAGTCGCTGTAAATGTTAGTGGCAATAAAGCAAATTTAGCTTTTGCATAACCTATTGTTTGTTCGGTTTTTTAATGCCTAATTTGCATAATCCGTAATTACCCCGTGGACATTACTGGAGAATAATGATGCATTTGGCTGCTCTCAGCCAATCAGAGTCTGCCTTATGTCGGCTGCAAACACTAGCAATATAATAATGGTCAGTAGAAGATAAAAAAATTTAAAGGTCAGCTACAAAATCCTCTCTACTTGTAATTTGAGTGGAAGTTTTCCTTTGATATAATGGTCCACTACTATTAACATTCAGTACTGACTGAAGAGCCCCAGACAGCTGGATAAAGAAGAAATCTTGCCAAAGACTTTCTCAAATAGGGATACAATGTGTGTGACTGCAGCCTCACCCAAACTGTACCAAAATCTAAATTCTCATCTGGTGCCCATAAACGTACCCATTTTCCCATGGAAGTAACAGGTCCAGTAGTTCTAAAAAATCATCAAGCAAATGCATTTTGTGTGATTCTGTCCTTACTTCTCATGACCACACCATCCTATATAATTATATAGTGCTCATATTACAAGGAGAAATTACCGATCAATCTAAGAGGGTTTTAAAATAGAAATGTGAAACTAAAGTGGGAAACCCTGAAATCACGAAACTCATATGCTGCATACTAGATCAGTCACACACATTCACATGCATTCTTAATTGAGTAAGTCTTAATTCACTGAACTATTCTCTCAACATTATTTCCGAGGTAAGTTATTCTGGGTTGTTAAATTATAATTATGGATTTAAAGTTAATGCTTGCAATTAAAGGGACTGTGTCACAATAGTGCGCATGTGTGAGCTTTGACAGTTGCTGATTGTTTTTGAACCAATCGGAAGCAAGTAAGATGCATGCAAGGAAATTTGCATCATTCAAGATTCATTGTTCGCGAAGCGGGAATCGTTTTTGTTCCATTTTATATACCCCACGAGCTTAATTCATATTTATTCTCTGGCATTCCTCAGATATCTGTTGCAGCTGATAAGAATGAGATTAACAACCCTGTCCTACTTTGAAACAAACAGTTACCTACGTGTATTTTCACGTACCCACCCTAGCAAACCAGTTTTGGATCCGTAACCAAAAATAATTTGTAAACAAACCTATTGATCTCTCTGTTTGCCCTATATAAACTTAGAAATAACTGCAAATAGCGCCTGACCGGTGACCTAAATACATAGTATCGGATGAGGCAAACGTTTTGCTTAAAATGCCAGCTTACAGCACACTATAATAAAATAGGCCATGCCATGCGGCCGGCTAGCGCGATGAGCACTACGCATTACTACATTGTAGCTCATCATAGCAGTGTTTGAAAGCAGTTTTTAATAGTGCTTCATCATAAAACACTTTCATTGTAATAGTAACCACACAGCGTATAAGTATAAAGACTTTTTCTCAAACAACAACGCAAAATAAAGTATAAACAGGAGCCCATCAGTATTGCATAAATTTCAATTTCTTCCTTCCGAGTCGTTGTGTCGGGTGTACCGCACAACAAACCTTACTGATTCAACACATAAAGAAACCAGATATTAAATGGAACATTCAGGCAACAATTTATTTTTAAAAGATCAATTCTCAAACATTTACGCTCATACAGCAAAGATACAAAGAACATTCCGTGTGAACCACATCGCTAAAGATTGCGCGGCCTAATGTCAGTACTTTCTGGTAAAATAAAACTACGGATCACAGTCACAAATCGAATGCCTGTTAAAACGTTTTATGTTCGATGGATTCTTTCCTCAACCTCACACCACTTCTATACAACAAAAGATTGCTGGGTTTTCTCCTTCTGATTTCAGTCACTCGAGAGAGTAAATTATTGCAGACAATCAGAAATCACGTTGTAGATCAGCTTCACTTGCCGCTGCATCCTATTAGTAGACCACAGCTGTATCAAGGAAAACCTTTTCAACTTTCTTTACATATTTAACGTTTAAGAACTATCTGGAAAAGGTAGATCGTTGACTGGCAAACTTAATAGACAGAAATGAAAGTCAAATGACCACATCACACGCCACACTTGATCCGTTTGTAGAAACACTGACAACAACAAACATGGCATTGTGCACTTCTCTTCAATGAGTTCGAATTTTCTCAACGATGCTTGCACAAAAATACAAAATATGACGTTCAAAACTTCCATAATAGACCAAATAGCTCTTGAATACTGATATTATGGCTTTCTTGGGCGTCTTAGGGTCGATGGAAGAGGATTTCTTCACCAAAAGCGAATCTTGACAAAATATTCGCCAGAACAGAAATCAAGATGCCGCACATGCACAGAAGCGTGTCACAGTCCCTTTAAGGCTGTAGTTTAGAAAATGCCCTTTCCAAAGTTTGAGAAGAAAATTGATGTTTTGGCTGCAATGGATCTCAAGAAAGCCAACAAACTGTGTACTACAAGATCAAAGTCAATCCCATTTTCCAACTCAGGAATTGAAGAGTGAGGTGACATGTCATCAACGAAGCAGCCAAGCGAGAGACTAAGTCACAAGAGGTCCCGTGCCATACAAAAATCGGACGGAGTACTGTTTTGAAAGTCTATTGTAGCGGGAAAGAAGCTTCAAGAAAAACTCCAAGAAGCAGTTTGTTGTCGATTTTTCCAGCGAAGTGCGAACTTTTAAAAAATGTATCGAGTAAAAGTGGGCTTGGCTCAACTTGGCTTGTCTGGTGCAAAAATGAAAACTGCCCGTTGCAAATAACTAATCACGCCGGGCCCAGACGCGCGAAAAAGCTGCAAGTTTATGTTTTTAAAAATGGCGCGGGAAAAGTATGTTTTTGATAAGAGACTGGGGACGAATTACTTTGCTTATATTTAACGGGTCCTCGTGCCTTCTGGGAAAATTTTTGTGCTTCATTCAGCAGAAATCTTGGCAGCGTTTTTTCTGAGCTTTCAGTAGATACCAAATATGCCATGTTTTTGCTCGAATTTACATCGTAAGTAAACTCAATGCGAATAGACTTCGACGAACGAGCTGTCATAAAGGGAATTTATCAAGGTTTTGGCTCGGATAGAATTTAAAACTACTCCAAGTAACAGCATTTGAAATGGACAAATAACATCTTTGAGATGTAAGTAAGAATCCTATGTTTTTTGTTTTGCTGAATTTTTGCCTGGATCAAAATGCTTGAGCTCGACACATGGCAATGTTTGTCTGTTTCTTTAGGTGACTTGGTCACGTTATGCCACACACCAAAAACACCCGTTTCAGTGTTGCTGATTTTATGAAGAAGAGAAAGGAAGCAAGGCAAAAGGCAGTGGAGGAATGTAGAGTGTTAAAAGCAGAGCTGTATAGAAATAAGAGGAAAATTGACAGACTAGAAACAAAGGTTAGCGGAAATTAGTAAGATTAAACTTACAGTACTGTCATAAGTGACACTGTGAACATACATGTGGTTATTGATAAACAATTTCTAATTTGTCATTTCCTGCAGATGAGAAATATTAAACCTGACACTTTTTTAATGTATTGATTGAGTTTTTCTTCTTTTATCAAAGGTCAGTGATTCAAGGATAGCATTGGCAGATATAACTAACGGCACTCCAAATAATCAGGTGAGTAGCAACCCCCAAAATATTTTTTCAGCAACCATTTTTTTAAGGGTGATGGATAATATTCATTACCCCCTTTATCTTTGAGGTGCTGAAAAAATAATAAATAATAATTTTTTGCCTTTGCAGTTACAATTGGGGAACACTGATACCAGTGCACGAACAAGACCCCCAACTATTTTGGTGGATGGGAAATCAAATATGCCACCAAGAACAGCTGCGAAAAGACGACATGAAACACTGACACATGCTTCTGCAATCCATGGCGGATCTAAAAATAACCCAGGTCCAGCCTTTGATGGGATGTTTGACACACTAGCTAAACGATGTAAAGTAGATAAAATGAAAGATTATGTTCTGGGTCAGAAAACATTAAAAGAGAAAGTAGCCTCAGCTATGTTTAAAAAAAACGTGAAAGCTTTTGAAAGCTCTGCAGAAAATGCAAAAAGAAGCATTGCAGTTTTCTATAGTAGTGGTGTAATGGGAAAGCGAAAATATAAATCTGTTCGAATTTCATTATCAATGAAGTCAAATGAAACTACAAAGGGAAGATCAGCTATAAGTGTTATGCCAAAGTGCCCAATTCCAAAATTATTGCCATATGACAAGCTTGTGAAAGAAATAAACGAAATTGAGATTGGAAATGTGTACAGGTTCGATGAAGAGTTTCCAGGGGCAATCGGAGATGAACTTACTCAAGGTTGTTTTCGAAAGTTAGTTGAGTACTTGCCACGCCTGGCAAAATTCTACCTCAGAAAAGATAGAAAGGAAGCCCTTCTGTGGTTTGGCAAAACTGAAGGCACTTTTTTAATTGCTGTGGGTGGGGATGGTTGCCCATTCGGAAAGAATGAGTCAGCTTGTTCTTTTTTGTTAAGTTTCATGAATGTAGGTAAACGAGTTGCATCGAGCAATGACAACTTTATTATTTTTGGTGGAAATTGTGAGGAAACATCACTTGTTGTGCGTAAGTATTGTCAGTTCTTGTGCAAAGAAATTTGTGAGATAGAAAACAAAGTCTTTGAAATTGAGGGCCTTCATGTTACATTCAAATGTGCCGAGTTACCTAATGACATGAAAATGTTGGCCATGTTAGGTGGTGAACTATCTAACAGTGCAAAATATTTCTCGTCCTTTGCAAATGTGTCAAAAGACAACTGCACAGACCTGAAGGGGACATTTGCAACTGATAGCACAAGCTTATGGCATCCATGGAAATATGAGGACAGAATTAAAATTGCAAATGAGGTTGAGAAATTTAAAAAAACCNATCAAGATGCCGCACATGCACAGAAGCGTGTCACAGTCCCTTTAAGGCTGTAGTTTAGAAAATGCCCTTTCCAAAGTTTGAGAAGAAAATTGATGTTTTGGTTGCAATGGATCTCAAGAAAGCCAACAAACTGTGTACTACAAGATCAAAGTCAATCCCATTTTCCAACTCAGGAATTGAAGAGTGAGGTGACATGTCATCAACAAAGCAGCCAAGCGAGAGACTAAGTCACAAGAGGTCCCGTGCCATACAAAAATCGGACGGAGTACTGTTTTGAAAGTCTATTGTAGCGGGAAAGAAGCTTCAAGAAAAACTCCAAGAAGCAGTTTGTTGTCGATTTTTCCAGCGAAGTGCGAACTTTTAAAAAATGTATCGAGTAAAAGTGGGCTTGGCTCAACTTGGCTTGTCTGGTGCAAAAATGAAAACTGCCCGTTGCAAATAACTAATGAAGCTTTCTCGACAACAGAAAGGATAGAACAGAGCAGAGCCTTTGAATTAAATTGTTCATCTGTTGTTGGGTTTCGTCTTCAACTTTTCCTGCTGTGTCACTATAGCGCCACAACTTCATTTTTAAAAAATACATGTATGGTCTCCGTCGGGAAAATAAAAATTTCACCAAAAACACTATTATGAAATACTGTGGGTCATTATCACGAATTCCTCTTTCTTACCGTTAATTTGCAAGCGCTATTTAATTAGGAGATTTATTTTTGGTCCAAAATTTTATAGCGGTAAAAGCCCCAAGAGTTGAATAAATTAAAAGAAGGAGTTGGCACGGGGAGTTCGTACACTAAATAATGAGGAAACTTTTCATGTGAAATTACAAATACTTTTGAGAAAAATGGCAAAGGAGATGATTTGGGCACACGGTATAGCTTTGCACCATGAGACTGAAACAAAACATTACGAAACACTATGACGGCAATCGGATGAAGTCCATTAGCTTTGCATTACTCAAAAGCGGCAAATTCAAAGTTACTCACCAACATTCTCGTCCAGCACCGTAGTTTAAACTCGGGCAGTTTATGATTAGCTCTTAGCCTTGACAGGCGATCTTCATAACTATTCTCGTCTTCCTGGGTGTCATCGGAACAGAATAATAAAATAAAAATAATACTTGAATCAAGTGAAAAAAAAGGAAACATGCACGAGAAGAATTAAATACAATCAGAGTAAAAGTTTTACAGTGCGCGCTATGACACCTTTTTTTTTCTTTGCCAACGCTGAACTGTGGCCCTGTGGTTTTCCAGGTTTAGATAAATGTGGGTCCGTCCACAACGTAACCATCCCCCGTTTTACCAATGATAAAGCCTCGGCCAGTTGAAGTTCTGACTTGATCGTAAATTTCTTGTTTCCTTCACCAAAGTAACCAAGCGTAAAATCTTCGCCAGTCGTGGCTGGTTTAAGTTCCTCTCCACTTCTCTGAACAAGGTATTCTTTTAGTCCTTTAACAGTTTCAAAAAGAGGAACCACTTTTAAGCAATAGGAGTCATGTCTGTTCTTGTTGCTCTTTGTTAAGATGCGCAAGGCAACACTAATTGTATTTTCAGCCTCCATGTCCATTTCACGCTGACAACCACGAAAGCCTAAAATTAATTCTAATCTACCCATACCGCCTTTCGTTCTTGTCGTGTACGCTTGAAACTTTGATCCAACAACGTCAATTGAAATAGCTGTATCAAGGGGAGTCCTATTCCATAGCTTATACTAGCTCCACGAACTTTAAAAGTACCTCCCCCATCTGTTTCTCTATTATAAAACGGACATGCCAAATTAAACCTTCCATAACGGCTAGCTTTGCTGTCACTCCTGAGATCCGAGTTTCTAGGCAATAGTTTCGTTATATAGTCTGGGCAGTCATCTTCATTTGTCATGCACCTAAATATTAAACTGCACTGTTGAAGATTTACTTTGTCCTTAAACGGCAACTAATCAAGCCATCTAAAATGGTCTTTACTCCTATCTCTTAGATTAGCATCTAAAATTACCCGAGCTGCCTGCTTTTGCAGTTTAAATACATGTTTCACATTCTCTTCCATTACCGTGGTTCATGTGCAAGCTCCATACAACAATATGAGCTTAATCAATGCATTAAAAAACAGCTTGCGCTCTGCAAGGGGCAAATTATGCTTAATCTTTTTAAGTACAGCACTCTTTGGTGCCACTTTCTTGCAAAGGTCATCAATATGATCATTACAATTTAGGTGGCTGTCTAATGCTACCCCAAGTAGCTTCGGTGAAGTGATTTGCTCAATCTCACTACCGCTCTACCGTTACATGCAATTTGACCAAACAAAGTCACTTGTCTTTTACTTTCTTTAATTTGTCACAGATCTCCTTGCACGCATCATACTTATTGTTTAATATGTACATGTTATTTTTGTGATTGAGAAACCCATCTAGTCTCCCGTTATTGTCAAAATGTAGGTATTCCACAAAGTAATTAGTACGGAGTATATATCGGTCAACAACTGGTTCAATTTTCACATCTTCAAGCAACACTATAACTTGGCCACTAACATTTAGTTCCCCTTCTTCGCCCAGATCATTTAGCACAATAAAATGTTCATGTCGTTGTAGTGTATACGATGCTAATGCAAGCGCGTAGAAGCGAGAGAATGAATGTGATGTGATACACACGGGAATTACGTAATTTGCATGTACTATAGATAGCGTGTGTTGTAATTTATTCGAGTCGGTTAGCATTCTGAGTTTGGAGTGTAACGGTCGTGAATAAAGTGTGTTTTAACCTAACCGCGGTACTACATTGGCGACGAGGATATTTCGAGGATATTTCGAGGATTTCGCTGAGGGTTTCAAGAGTTTCGTTGAAAATCTCGCTGTGGATTTCGTCAAGGATTTCGTCAAGGATTTATTTCAGCGATGCCGGGAGGCGGTGGATCGGGCGAAACTAACGCGACAAGCGGTACTACGAGCGGTGCTGTTGGCGGTTCTGGGATGACTTCTGTTACTTTAGATGTCAGTGGATTGGAACCATTTAATCCAAAAGGAGAGGCGCACAATTTAAGTCAGCGATGGAAGAAGTGGAAGCGAGCGTTCAGTTTGTATGTGACCGGGAAAGGTGTATCGAACGACGCTCAAAAACGTGCTTTGCTGTTGCATGTCGCTGGTATGGATGTGCAAGAAATTTATTTCACACTAGCTGGTGAGGGTGGAGATGCAAGTTTTGAAGCAACGTTAAAGGTGTTGGACGACCATTTCGTGCCAAAGGCGAACATTCCCTTTGAGAGACATTTGTTTCGACAAATTTCGCAAGGGATCGGAGAGACAGTTGATCAGTTCGTTTGTAGATTGCGTCAGCGAGCAGCGACTTGTGATTTTGGCGCCGGCGAGGATGACTACATTCGCGATCAGCTCATAGACAAGTGTTATTCGAGCCATTTACGCCGGAAATTTCTGGAAAAGGAAGGAACTGTTACGTTAGATGAATTGTTGCGTGTTGCAAGATCCCAAGAAGCGGTTGATCGACAACTGAAGCAATACAGTACCGACCAAGCAGATAACCAGGTCAATGCAGTGGGTGGCAGGCTGTATGGAAACAAAAATCCCAGGAAAGCAAAGACGTGCTTTAGCTGCGGACAAGAAGGACACTTCAGTCAAGACAAAAAGTGCCCGGCGCGTGGTCAAACTTGCAGGAAGTGCGGCGAAACAGGCCATTTCAAAGTTAAATGCCCTCGACTCCATCAGCTAAGCAGGACCCATTCGGGATCTAGAGGACCTGAGAGTAGCAGAGGCGGACGCGGCAGAGGAGGCAGGAGTGCTGGTGGACTGGGTCGAGGTGGACGCGGACGCGGAGGGCGAGAGACGAACCTCGTGACTGGAAGACCTAGCCCTGGAGAGGAAGACAAAGGAGATTTCGCTGCATCAGGTCATTCGCAAAGACCCGATTATGCCTTTTCAGTGGAACAGGTGAATGATCGCAAGGAACAAAGGGGCGCTTTGGTAACGCTGGTCATTGGTGGTGTAGACGTACCCGATGTTCTCATTGATTCGGGAGCTTCATGTAATGTTATGGGCCAGCAGACCTGGGAGTTGTTAAAGCAAAAGGGGATTAACTGTGAATCTCGCAAATCTGCAAAGGAACTTTTTGCTTATGGTGGTACAGAACCTTTACCGACCCTAGGAACGTTCACGGCAGATGTCACGCTGGCTGGGTTTGAAAACGGAAGTAATGCTGATTTTGTGGTGGTTGTAGGCGATGGTCGCACGCTGTTGGGCCGAGAGACTGCCGAGGCGCTAAACCTGTTGCGTATTGGTCCTTTTCAGACAAACAGTGTTGACGGTGGGCGATCGGACGGGGATGTCAGAGAGAAATACAAGCACTTGTTTAGTGGTGTTGGTCTTTTGAAGGGCTACGAGCTTAAGCTACACATTGATGAGTCGGTGAAGCCTGTAGCGCAGCATGTACGTAGGATACCGTTCGGGTTACGCGAGAAGGTGGATGCAAAGCTGGATGAACTTTTGGAGCTTGACATTATAGAGGAAGTGCCGGAGGGGCCGTCAGGATGGATTTCGCCGTTGGTGGTGGTTCCCAAAAGCGATGGCGACGTAAGAGTCTGTGTTGATATGCGTCGTGCAAATGAAGCAATCGTCCGAGAGCGTCACCCAATTCCAACCGTTGAGGAGCTGTTACACGACTTGAATGGCAGTACGGTGTTCAGCAAGATAGATCTCAAGTGGGGTTTTCACCAGATTTTACTCAGTGAGGAAAGTCGCCACATCACTACCTTTGCCACGCATCGAGGGCTTTATCGTTACAAGCGGTTGATGTTTGGCGTAACGTCGGCGCCGGAGAAATATCAGCAGATCATTAGAGATGTGTTAAGGGGTTGTGCTGGGGTTGCGAACATTGCGGACGATCTCATTGTTCATGGGTGTGACGTGGAGGAACATGACAAGCGTCTTTTTGCGGTGTTAGATAGGCTGAGTGAAGTGGGGTTGACGGTGAACGGAGACAAGTGCGAGTTTAGATTGTCAAGGCTTACGTTCTTTGGTCACGAGCTGACTAGTGACGGCATAAACCCATCCGAAG